TGCCCCCAGTCCCCTGGGGCAGAGCCCCTGCCTCTAACAAAGCTCACGGCTGTGTAACAACATTCACCTCCCCCCCCCACACACACACATCCCCCCCTCGCCCCAGACACAGTCCGCACCCTGCAGGGACCCGTGGGCCTTCTCTCTTCCCAGGGGGCAGCCCTGCCGTTTCAAACCCAGTTGCTGCTCCCCTGCAGGGAGAAGGCCCCGCCGTGGGGCTGCCCGGCCACTGGAGAGCTGAGTAATTCGCCGGCTCAGGTTCCGCTCAGTGGGACTCGTGTGCTGGATTTCGAAGGGCTTCCGAGTCTGTGTGATCCTCCAGGCTCCGCCCCCCACCCCCCAAATCACACACCGCCGGGGGGGGCAGAGGGGGCACCTTTCGGTCAGTAGCTCTCTCTTCTGGTTGGCGTTTAAAGGCAGAACTCCTGGGTTCTCTTCCCAGCTCCATCAGGACCTGGACCCAATTTGGTGCCTCTCCTTGTACCTCAGTTTCCCTATCTAAAGTAGGGAGGATAACGCCGAATATCCTGGCCCTCTAGCTCAGGCAGCGGAGACTTGGGGAGCGGGGTGTAGTACCCGTAGCCAGCCCAATGCAGGGATCTCATTACAGCCACGAAGCAGGGTGGGGCTCTCTGGGGCCACGGGCGTGGCGGGTTCACACAGACTGGGCCGTCTCCTGGCAGGCAGAAATACACAGCCTGGCCCAGACACCGCCAGGGTCAATAACACACTGCAAAGGGCTGGGGGAGGCCGGCTCTGAGTGCTAGATGGATTGCAGTAACTCCCCGGGGGCCACCGTGCCAGCTGCCGCATTAGCCCCCGCTCAATCGAGCTAGCCAGTGCTGGTGCAGCTGAGCCTTGAACCCATTTATCCTCAGCGGGAGGCAGGGCAGCAGGAGTGTGCCCATCTTGCAGAGGGGTAAACTGAGGCACCGAGGGAGTCTGGGGCAGAACCGGGCGTTGTCCCCTGGTCTCTCGCGTTATTGCTGGGTGGCCATGCCTTCCTCGGGCCTGCAAAGCCATTCTGCCCTGGGGCCCATTCCAAGGGGCTTGGACATGCGGGCGTGGCTGGAAATCTGGGGCCCTTTGCCCCGCCCCAGCCCGCCATCCAGGAACCAGCTGGTTCCAGCCTCTGCAGCATCTATCCCCCTGGAGCACAGCTGCGGGGAGGGGAAAGGCGATCAGAAGGTGAGTGGGGGGAGTGTGTGTGTGTGGGGGGGGATGAAATTCCTCAGCATGGGGGGGCAGGGCAATTACCTGATAACCCCCATGGAGCACCAGGTTAACCTCCCCACCAAGCAGCGTAATGGGAGAACGGCCGAGGCGCCAGCGGGAACGTGTCTAGGGGCTGGAGCCGGAGCGGGTGGAGGCAGGACGCCTGGGTTCTATTCCCGTATACATCCTCCTCCTTCCCCTTTGCCCTCCTGCAGGGGCTGAGAATGCCTTCGGGATGGCAGCTCACCCAGCCCAGCGGTTTGTATTGTCTCCAGCAGCTGAGGAAACTGAGGCCCAGAGAGGGGGTGGGGAGGCGATCGAGATTTCCCCGCCCACCCCCAAGGAGTCAGTGGCAGACCAGAGAGAAGAACCCTTGAGTCCTGAGTCCCAATCCTCCCTGCTCTAACCACTACACCCCACTGTCTGTATTTCCCTGTGTCTCCTCGCCGTTAAAGGCCTCGTTTCAATGCAGCCCTTGGCCCACCTTGACCGGTCCATCTCGATATCGGAGAGAGCGACCCCGGGGCCCTGGCTTGTGCCTCGTCTCGATCCTCTCGGTAGTGCCCAAGGGCCATTCACGCCCCAGCCAGCCAGCCAGCATCGCTGTACCAGCCTCCGCGAGATGGGCCGCCGCAAATGAAAGCCATAAACAACAATGGGTGGGGAGCCAGAAAGGCCCGGTCGCTCTCCGGGGCGATCTTCCCCCTGCAATTAGGGGAGGGGTGCATGTGGGGAAATGCTGATATTAATTAACTAGGCCTCCTCTGGCCGCGCTCGTCTTTAATTAACATCCTGCTGCTGCAGATGCTGCCCCGGCCGCGTGCCGAGCGCCTTCGCGGTGCGTGAGGCCCATTGTTCCCCGGGCCACCGGCGTGTTCTCCGGCGGCTAACCCCGAGTCGAGGGCCTGCTGGAGCGTGTGAGAAACGGCACGATCGGCCGGGGGGGGGGAGGGAATAAACAAACGGGCTGGGAGGTGAAGGGGGGACGCCGGGCAGTGAGGCACCCGGCGTTTGCCAGCTCCCCACGGTTGCCTTCTTGGTTTCGCCAGTTGTTCTGGGGGTGACTGGCGCTGGGGCAACAGACCCGTGCTAGCCCATTAGCCGTTGCACCCTGTCGGCGCTGTGCAGATTCCCTGTAATCCCCCCCCCACCCCCCGGTAGGAGCCGCTCTCCGTTCCCCGGCTGATCATCCTGCTGGCCCTTCTCTGCCCCCGGGCCCGGTTTGAGTTCCTTTGCCCGTGGCTGCCTGGGGTGGTGAAAAGCAATTGAGGGGGGGCAGGAGGCATTGAAAATGCGGCTTAAAATCCCGCTGCTCCGCTCCCCACGGGCCCTGACCCTCTGGCGACCTCTCGACCAAACGAGAGCAGCCTCTGGCTTTCCCGGCTCCATAGATCTTGACTACGGGGCTGCCAAGCCCAAAAGCCTGGTCTAAGGCCTGGCCCCGGGGCTGCTACCGAGGTGTCTTGAGCATCAGGGCTGTGGCCTCTGGGACCTTTCCTGTGCTTTAAAGAAAGTCTCAACCCCCCCGGAGTCAGCAAATAAGAACGCCCCACGTTTTTGCGCCACGTCTCTGAGCATAAGAAGGACCCCGGGTGCTTCTGAGCCCCCCTCTGCTTTCGTTTTGCCGCCGCATGCTCCCACCATCCCCGGAGCCCGGGGAGTCAACTTTGGCTCTTCAGCTGAGAAAGTCGCATCGGTGTTTGGAACTTCCCGTTGCTAAAGAGAAACTTACCGTGCGCTTCATCGGCAAGGCAATTATGGTTGCTGGGTTACACGGGCTGGGAGTTTTAATTGTCTCCTCTAGGAAAACAGGAATAAAAGACAAAACCCTCAATTCGGTGGAGGCTCAGATTTCGTTCCGTTCTGTTCGGATGGAAGTGGGGGCGCTGCATTCGGCTCCTGGGATCTAGGGGGGGCAGAGAGCAGCCCACAATATTCACTGTCTGGGTTAGCTTTGTCCCGTTCAGCTCTGGGAGATGGGGCCGCGTCCACCTCTGGAAATCAGTGGATGGATTTGCAGGCAGGGCGGGGTGTGACAGCAAAGGACATGGAGAGGGGAAAGGGAGAAGAGAGCCCTTGCGGGGAGTGTGGAAAACGGGAGGGGAAACCCCATTCTCGCGGTCTGCCTGTGCTGGGGTTGCCGTGAGCAGCTTTCCCCACCGGGCTCTTGGGACCTCCGCTGGTGCGACAGGTCGTAGCCGCCACCAGAAGGCATCGGCAGCTAGATCCTGCAGACATGCTGCCCGGTTAGTTGCGGTGCAGTTCTCTCCCGGCGCTGGCTCACAGCGGGAACGTTTCATCCACGGCCTGCGTTGAGAACAACGAGCTCGGGGCTCAGGGCGGCGGCCTGGCGGGATAGACCCACGCTTGCCAAAACATTGTTCTTGGCATGTGGCCAACGCAGCTGGGGCAGGCGGATGCGGCAGGGGACTCTCTCCCACCCAAAGTTGCTGCTTTCCTGTGTGCTTATCCAGTGCCCGCTTGGGGCTGGGAGGGACTCAAGGGGTTGAGATAGGAGCAGCCCTGGCTTGGCTTGTCCCAGAACAGACCTTCCCCCTTGGCGCTCCCTGAGAAGTGCCTCGACGCCCAGGGGGATGCTCTGGTCATTCTCTCTCTGGCCTCCAGCCCCAACCGACTCCGCTCACAAGCTGCCGGGGGCCCCCGACCCCACCTGGGAGCTGAGGAACCCAGCTGGGCGCCAAGAAGCTGCAACCGGAACACAGCTGAGGATCCAGCCTGTGGCCCCCAAGACACAGCGAGCTCCCGGGGCTGTGGGGCCGTGGACCCGCCGGGCAGAGGCTCAGGGTGCAGAGATTCGGGTGAGCAGCCCACAGGGTGGGGGCAGTTGGCTTCAAGGCACCTTGAAAATGGGGGCGACGTAGCCCCAAGGGCTGCTCTAAGTTGCGGCCTGGGGGTCACAGGGCACAGCGGGACGGGCTGCCCAGGGCCGTGTCCCCCATCCCTCTTTGCCTCTGCTCCTGGCAAGGCTTGTGGGGTGGGAGCGGGGCGGGGGGATCAGCACAGAGGCGGGGTGGGAGCAGAGACGCAGGCAGCTTCCCATCGAGCGGTGCCCAGAGCCAACAGAGGTCTGCAGGGGGGATGGATGGCCCACAGCCCTGGGCTCACGTTGCCCATTCCCGGTGGGGGTCAGATATGGGGACTCCCCCCCCCACCTCAGTGTCTGTTGAACAAACCGAGTCTCCCCAGTCCTGGCAACAGGGGACAAAAGGAGCGTTGACAGCCGCCCTTTCTCTCTCCTCCCCAGGGGTCGGCCCCATCCGGGAAGGGCCCAGCTGCTGCATCAAACCCCATAGCATCCCGTGGCCGCGGGGCGGCCTGCCTGCTCCCCTCACGTCTACACCAGTGGTCGGCCGGGGTGCTGGAACCATTTGTATAGTGGGGGGGCTGAGAGCCATTGAACTAAACTGTAAACCGTGGATATAATGGAAACCACTTCAAAGGGGGGGTGTTGTGTGTGTGATGAGGCTGCATGTAATGTCTACATGTGTGATCTGTGCGCAGTGTGGATATGTGTGCAAGGGAGATGCTGGGGGGTGTCATGGGGGGGGCCGCTGGTGTGTGTGCTGTGTGGTGGTTGTGTTGGGGTGTGACTGGCGTGTGTGTAATGTGCGCACGGATGACATGGTGTGTAACGTGTGGGGGGGCATACTGGGGGGGGCGGACTCGAGACCCCTCCCCCGCTGGGTCCCCCCATTGGTGGCTCTCCATGTCCCTCCCCAGCCTAGCCCCAGCCCCCTATTAAACCCAGCTGAGCCGGCAGTGCGGGGCTGTTCATGACGGTGACTGGAGGCTGCTAATTCTGGCTGGGAGCACGGCAGCCCCTCTGCTCAGTGTCTGAGAGCAGCCCGGGAACGCAGCTGCCGCTCAGCGCTGCAGGGAGGGACCAGCCCCGGCACTGGCTAGGAGTCTGGGCAGGTAGGTGGCCATCCCTGGGCTGCGGGCGATGGGAGCGGGGTGGCAGGGCATTCTGGTGGCTTTTGGGTGGGATTCACTGGCTTTTTGTTTTGTTTTTTTCTTTTAAGACAAATCTTAGCTTGGAAAAAAATGAGACAGAGAAAGTTGGCGAAGCTGCTGAGAATGATCTGATCTGGGGAGCGAAAGCGACAAGGGGGGGAGATAGAAAAGGGTTCAAAATAGGGGCAAAGGTTAAAAGATCCGCTCAGCTTGGCGGGGTTCTTGGTTCCTTCGGGGGATCTCAGAACCACCGTTCAGTTGCTATGAAAAGAGCAGGGGCTTTGCGGTTGTCATGTGTGAGTGTGTGTTTGTGCATGCGTGTGAGTGAGTGTGTTTGCACGCGGGTGCGTCAGTGGAGCCGAGTTTGTGAGTGTGTGTGAATGTGAGCGAGTGTGTTTGCATGCGGGTGCATCAGTGGATCCGGGTTTGTGAGTGCGTGTGAACGTGAGCGAGTGTTTTTGCACGTGTGTGCGTCAGTGGATCCGGGTTTGTGAGTGCGTGTGAACGTGAGCGAGTGTGTTTGCACGTGTGTGCATCAGTGGATCCGGGTTTGTGAGTGCGTGTGAACGTGAGTGTGTTTGCACACGTGTGCGTCAGTGGATCTGGGTTTGTGAGTGCATGTGAACAGGAGCGAGTGTGTTTGCACGTGTGTGCGTCAGTGGATCCGGGTTTGTGAGTGCATGTGACCGTGAGCGAGTGTGTTTGCACGCGTGTGCGTCAGTGGATCCGGGTTTGTGAGTGCGTGTGAACGTGAGCTGGCGTGTGCACGATTGGATGGGTGGGCATTATCGTGCCTGGGCATATGTGTGTGACATCTAAGCGCTGTTTAATGATGTGTCTCCCCTCCCCGCAATAAAGGCAAACGGCCCCTTTCCCTCACACTACTTCCTGGCTGCTTCCCTCTCTGCCAACCTCAAGCAAACTTTGCAAAAAGCAGCGGTGCCCTGGAGAGGCTGGCATGGGGCTAATGGGGGGCTGGTGCCTTCCTGACTCTCTGGCTCTGAGTTTCTTGTGTGAGTGTGTCTCATTAAGGGCTGAGAGATTTCCAAGGGTGAAGGTTTTGCCGCCCTTCCCATGGTGGCTTTGCTGGGTGACATGCAATGTGCACTTCAGTAAACAGACTTGATTAGCTGGCGGGGGGGGGGGGGGCATTAAATTTGGCTCCAGTGAGCTGATTAGCCCAGAGAATCGATATCAGTCCCAGCCGGGTGATGCCAACAGACAGGTGGTGACCGGCACCTCATCAGCAAAACCAAAGCCGAGCTCGTAAAATCCCATCAGCGGGAGAGGCATGTTCCCACTCTGAATGGCTGGCGGTAATTTTCTCCAGCTTCCGCTATTTCGCCTCTGCCTCGGTGCCAGGGAGGAGATTCCGCCAGGTTGAGAAGATAATTTCCCATGGGTTGCACAGGCCGAGAAAAGAGAGATGGGAAAGAAATAAGATTGGGTCACTGAGTTTCTCTGCTAGTCTCCGGCTTTTCCTCCAAATTCCCAGCACATTCTGTTCCTTAGCTTTAACGTCATTTGCTTCCTTTTTCCCCCCCTTCCAAAGTTGGGACTTTATTTTTCAGGCTCGTCAGGCAAAAACTGCTTAAAATCCAACCCAGATCCGTCCAAAATTCCAGGGAGGAGAAACGCCAGCCCTTGCCCTGGCTGGTGGGGCTGGCGGACAGATTGCACCGGGCGATCTGCAGTCGTACTCAAGTCAGAGTCCAGGAGCCAAGTGGTGAACTGGCAACAGGCTTGGAGAGAGGGCTGGGGAAGGGGGTTATTTGATGATTTCCCTACCTGGGTGGGGAGCTGCCTTAGGCATTAGGGCACTGGGTCTAGTGTGAGCCTCCCCGCACTAGTGAGAAGCACGCCTTGCACCGATCTTACTAATATCTACATGTTCGGTTTTAGCCCCTGGGTTTGCTCCCCCAAACTTCTCCTTCGCGCCCCCCCCCCAGTTGATTTGCCTTCTAGGGCTTGATTATGTAACACTCACTCCCATTTGCAAGCGTTTACACCACGAAGCGTGAGTAGAGGCTCTTCGCTCTTACGTTCCACGCTCGTGGATCTCCAAGCACTGTGCCAAGGCAGGTGAGTAGTGTGACCCCAATTGTACAGAGGGGGAAACCGAGGCACAGAGCGGGGGCCGTGACTTGTCCCGAGGCCAGCTGGCAGGCCAGTGGGGACTAGAACGCAGTCCCGCGTCCTTGCTGCTAATGCTAAGAATGAATCCGGCCTTGTTTTGGTCTGGAAATGCCTGTATCTTTTATTGGACCGCACCCACCTTGTCTCTCTCGTTCCTTAGATTGGCCATCACCCCCAGTCCCAGCCCTCGGGAGAGGAAAATGAAAAGCCCCCTGGTGCTGACGGTGCTGCTGTCCTTAGTGGCGGCCAAGCTGTGTCACGGCTACTGCGAAGGGACGGAGAAGCAACAGACGGCCAGCGGGATCCAGGCGAAGGTAGAAAGGGAGGGAGCGGGGCTGGCTGGGGTGCGAAGAGATCGGAGTCTACGTGGCTGGCCCCGGGGCAAAGGAACGCAAGACATGTTCTTGACTCACCTCCCACCCTGGCGCTGCGGGCCCGTGGCCAAAAGGGGGATACAATTTGGTTTTGTGCCTGGGTTTTTGGCTTTCCCGGACAACTCTGCGTGGCGTTTTTACATTAGAAATTCAAGCTGTCTCCCCGCCAGGAAACTCTGTGGTGACTAGCGATCTAGCCGGATGGGGAGCATTAGTTAATCATGGGGCAAATCCAAACCATTTACATTCATGTCTGGGGAAAAAACATCCAGGCCAAAATTTTCCCAAGTGACCTGATCTCAGTTGGAGCCGGTACGTGCGCCAAACCCGAGTTATTGGGCTCAACCCAGGGGTAAATTGAGTGAAACTCTCAGGTCCGTGCTATACGGGAGGGTGGCCCAGCCAGTCCCTTGTGACCCTAAACGCCACCACAGTAACGACCCGCTGACTTCTGCCGGCCAGGGCATGTTTCTGATGAGCTGCCCGGCAGCTCTTTGGGAAGAGCCCTTCCCCCTTAATGGGTCCCCCCCACCATTTAACCCAACGAGGTGCTGGTAGCAGGCGACCCTGACTCGGCTCTGGCCGTGAGGGAGAACAGCAATTAGGGAGCGAGCGCCCGGCTGCTCTGCGGGTGACCTGGCTGGAGACAAAACCGCTGCTCTCGGGAGAGCGGCTGGGAGGTAAGTCCTGAGCTCCCTGGCCGTGCCCCCGTGGCCGGCGCTGCCCATCCCAGCCGCGATCCCACGCTCCTCTCCCGGCACAGCTCATCCTTGGTGGCCGAAGAGTCTTGTGTAGCCCCTGCTAAGGGAAGGGATCTCACCTGCCTGGGCTGGAACAAACGCGAGCAAGCGCCCCCGCCCTAGGATGGCTTGGGGGGCAGCCAAGCCCCTGGGCTTTGTTCACTCACTGGGGATCCAGAGGCCAGCCCCTGCCCCAGTCTTGGGGTCCCTAGGCACATGCTTAGGGCACAGACCTGGGCACCCCCCTTCTGAGTCCTGGAACCTGCTGTCCAGCTGCCCAGCCCCTCGGGGCGCATCCCCAACCCCTCAGACTCACCAGGACTCGAATACACCCCCACGCCCAGAGCTGTGCCCCGCTGGTGCCACACCCCTAGGTTACAGGGGGGGCTCTCTGGCGGGGGGCACGCAGGAGATGTGAAGCAGTCTGCCCGCGCGTGTGCACACACAGAGCAGGGCTCAGACACTCCAGCGGGGGCAGCAGGATGGACAGATGGACACAGGGACACACACACAAACACACACACACACAAGCATGTGCCCGTTGACCCGTCCCTTGGGGGAGCGGCCGTGCTCCGGCAGACAGGGGGCTTCTCCCCACCCCACCACCTGCGTTCAGGCCCTGCTTTGTGCCCCCCGCCCATTTCCATCTCTGGTCTAGACTCACTGAGTCTGTGCTGGACGAGTCTGCCTCAGTTTCCCTCAGTTCATGGCAGCCTGCTCCGTGCAGAGATCCCAATTCCTCTTTTCACCACCACTCACGACAGCCCTGCAGCCTCCAGGCCCTTGTTAATGATGATTCTTAGCTGGACGTGGGAGTTGGCCTGGCCTAGTAGCTAGGGAGTTCTGCTCATGTGGGAGATCTCCTCATGGACAGAGCTAGGCATTATTATTTGTTAACCTGTCTGCATTCCGGTAGCACCTGGGAGCCCTGGTCATGGAGTGGGACCCCCGGCGCTAGGCGCTGTACAAACATGGGACAAGAAGACAGTCCTGGCCCCAGCGTGGTTCCACTCTAAGACGAGGGCCAGCAGGTGGCTACGGACCGACGGGAAAGCCCGAGGGACCAGTGAGACAAAAGTGCCTTGCCTGGCGTTGCTTGCACACTGGGCTCTCACATACCCAGAGGTGCCCAGCTCTGCCCTGCTGCAGCTCTGTGCCAGCTGGCTCCCTGGGCGTGGGCTCCTCGTATGTCCCCCAAGCAGGGCAGAGGCTTTTCAGTGGCTTTTGGGGAGGGCCCCTCCCCGGCTCGGGAATCGAGCAAGACGGGGACCTGGATGGACAGACGGACGGATGTGCTGGGTTGGCGCCTTCCCTGGCTGGAAGGGAGGCTGGGAGAAGGGCCACCCCCGTCCTGGAACGCCCCCTGCGCCAAGGCTCTGGCTGTGGGCCATTGGGGTTAGGCCGGCTCTGTGCCCCCTTTATGCCAGCTGCCAGAGTGATTGATGCTTCTGCCCCTCTGCCCTGGCAGCCTCTTAAACACCTGCCTTCCATTGGCTTCCAAGGGGACTTAGGCACCTAACTCCCTTAGGCTGCATCCCCACACACCAGGAGCACCTAAGGGTTGAGCAGGGTGAGGTAGATCATGAGCTTTGTCTCTGTCCACGGCGATGGGGAGCCGATGGCACAGAGGGCGACCGGCTGGCCCAATCTTAGGCACTGTCTCTTATATTCGCAACTATAACTCCCCCTCCTCGTGGGAAAAAAACGTGTCCTGACTTTTCGCACTTGTGATCTGGTCACCCTTGGTGCGTGCAAATCCGTGGTGTGCAAAGGCGGGGGATTTGCTCCAGGCGGGGGCTCTGCGGAATGCAAATTGCTTTCCAACAGCCCCCCCTCAGCCCCCCCACAACTGGAGCTTTGGGAAGCCCTTTGCTAAGATCCCCGGCCTCGGGCAGCTGCTTTCAGCAAATGGCCCCGAACTGCAGGGCCACGCCAGGCCATTGGCAAGCGATTCTCTCTGGGTCGGTCGCTTCAGGACCATTTTCTCATTTTGTCTGGGGTGGGCTTTTGTTTGTTTCTTTCTTTCTCTCCGTAAATTGCTCCTCTCCCCGAGCAGCGGCTGGAACGAGACACAGATGAGGGCTGGCTCTTCTGATGGACTCGGCAATAGGGAATGTCTCTGAGCAGTAGATTGCTGCCAGAAAAGCAGCTGAGATGATGAACCAGCTGGGGGGGGCGGACTCATGCTGGGGGTGGGTTAGCACTTGGCCTCCTAAGGGTTAAAGGCTCCCCCAAGCACGCCCCCCCTCCCCCCGATTTGCAGGGGAGTGAGGATTTTGCTGGCAAATCACCTGTTCCTCACAGGTACTTGACTCTCCTGCCAGCTTGGGGGGATAAGCCGGGGCCCCCGCTGAGCCCGCACCGAGCCCCGGGGGTCCCCCCTGCACGTCCACCCCCACCCCAGCTCCGAGAGCAGATTTCTCAGGAGAGCTGCTGGTTGATTTCCCCCCCAGGAGGAAATCCCGCGTCAGGGAGGTTTCTGTAGGGCTGGCAGGGCCTGCTTTGTGGCCAGCCCCAGGAGTGCAGGGGTTAATGCTGGAGACACCCCCACCCTCGGGAGTCCGGCTGGTTAGGACATCAGTGAGATGAGTTAAATGCGAGCTCAGCCTAGAGACTCGGCTGCAGATGGACAGGAACAGTGGCCAGGGCTCAAGAAAATTTCAGGGCTGGGCTTGCCGGGGGCTGCGGGTTGGGATTGAGGGGCACCGGCAGGGCTGGAGGGGAGAGTCTGGGGCTGGGCTAGCCGGGGGCTGTGGGTTGGGATTGAGGGGCACCGGCAGGGCTGGAGGGGAGAGTCTGGGGCTGGGCCCACCCCCCACTCGGCCCGTCCCCCCCACCCCCACCCCACAGCGCTGGGAACAGCTGTCAGGTTTCACGCTGGCTTGTCACTGCGATCAGGCGTCTCCTGCCAGGCCAAGGTTGGGGGCTGAGTGGCGTTTGATGCAAATGTGACGAAATCCCCATGGGGAAGATCCTGCTCCTGGAGCACTGGGCCGGCTGGGCCGGGGCGCCCACCCCCTCCTGCACATAATGGGGAGCCGGGGGGGCGGTTGGGAGCCGCCGCTGACGCCCCACAGTCGGCGACGCCCTGGCGCTGCCAAAATCTTGGAGGTATCCGGCCCCGGGAGCTCGGCTGCAGCATGGCAGGGCCAGCGCGGGGCGGGCAGAACTCCGGGTGGGGCTCAGGGCCGCAGGCGCCAGGGCTGGCAGGAGCCAGGGAGGGGAGGGAATCGGGGCCCGTGGTGCCGTCCCTCGTCCCTAGAGTTGGCTCTCCGCGCCCGCCTGGCCCCTCGGCCCCGCTGCGTTTGGGGCTCACGCCTGCCTCTCTCCCTGTCTTCCCCGCAGCCGAGCTCAGACCTCTACAAGCTGCCCACGGCCCTGCTCAGGAGACTCTACAATGGCCACCGGGTCTCCTACGAGGAACTGCTGCAGCTGGCGGGCAAGGACGATGCCCGTGAGTACCCGGCCCCACCCCCTGCCCTGAGAAAACTAACCGGGGGACGGAGGAGACTGGAAGGGGCCGGAGCGGGGAGCTGCTATCGGGCGGGGGATGGGGAGAAAGCAGTGAAAGCGGGAGGGGGGCGAGGTTGATTGCTGCCCCCCAGCACCACTGACCCCCCCCCACTTCTCTCTTCCAGGTACCAAGATGCCCATCCCCCCTCAGAAACGTAAGTCCTGTTTTCCCTCCTTCTCTGGCACCGGGTTCTCTGCCCTATCCATCTGGGGGACACCCCGGCCTCTCCCCACCCCCGCTCCACTCTGCGCTCCTGATCGACACAGCAATGAAGGCAGGCGACGCTGTCACGAGCTGGAGTGTAGACAGGACCCGCCCTTGAAAGCCAGCCAAAGCCTCAGGCAGCCCCGGCTTCCCAGGGCCACAGTTAGGTCCCGTCTGCACTTGGCCCCGGGTTGGGCCCTGGAGCCTTGGGTCGGCCAGGGCAGTCCCTGCCCCAGAGCCCCACCCCCACACGTAGGAGTTTTGCTCCCGTGTGCCACCCTGTTTGGTTCCAACTGGCACCTCTGTTGCTGTGTGCCCAGCCAGAGGTCCTCTGCAAACGTCGAGCTCCGGCTGTGCCAATTGCTCGGGCCGGGCACACGGCAAGTCTGGGAGCTGGGCCTGAGGTGTCTCGAGGGTGGGGGTGCAGGGGATCTGGACCCAGAAGGTGCTTTGGCAAAGGTGACCAGGATGAAAAGCCTCGGGTGGCGTCTCTTCCCTGCCCCGGCCTGCCGGGCTGACTCAGCCTGGGGCACCCACTCTGCTGACCCCCTTGTCTTTCTGCAGGGGACATGCACGACTTCTTTGTCGGCCTCATGGGCAAAAGGACCCCAGAGCCCGGTAGGTGGGGCCCGTGTCAGGCCATCTTGGGTGTGGGGGGTGGTTGTGCGGCGAGGCACCACCCGGCTGCCCCAGTCCCAGCGCATCCAGCTCTGGCCGCTGTCTCCCCACTCCGGTGACACCAGGGGGGCGGAACAGGTTGACCGTTCCAGGAGCGGGGATTCCTGCAGGGGCTGAGAAGTGGGTGGGGGCCGTCCCGGTTGGGCCTGGGAAGGAACTGACTGCTTCTCTGCCCCGCTGTTTAACCCTAGACGACCCCACAGACAGGAACAAGGAGACTTCCACTGGCTTCGGCGACCTCAAATATCCCCCAAATGCAGAATGAGGTGAGGGCAGTGGGGACCCGGTTCTGTTAGCTTCTCTTCCCGTGCGACACACGCGGGCTCACGCCCATACGCCCGCAGCTTGTGCGTGTGTCACTAGCCCAGGCGTGGTGCTCTGTCGTCCTTTTTCCTGGGGCCCGGCAAGGTTGAGAAAAGCAGCCCCCAGTCTCCCCGCAGCTCGGGCCTCTGGCAGGGGAAGCTGGGAGCGTGTTACCCGATCCGCGGGGGCCGCTTGCAAATGGCGCTCAGATGAGAGGCTGGGCTACAGGCCAGCTGAATTGCCAGGTCCTTGCCACCCTGGGACTGCGAATCCTTCACCTCTTTCGAGTCCGGACACAGAGCTGCTGTGCCAGGCTCAGATGCAGGTGGCCAATGCCACCTGCTTCTGGGACAATGAGGGTGAGATCCTGGCATCACGGATTAGCCATCCTGGCTTCAGTGAGCTTTGCCAGTTTCACCCCAGAAGGTTTGGATGGCGAGTGGCGAAGGTCACCCCTCCAGCTGACCAATGAGTCCCATTGCTTTGATCCAGGAGTATTCAGCGTGTCATGGTGCCCCAAACCTCACTGGTGTGTGGGGGGTGCGCGTGTGTGGTGACCAACCTGCCTTTCTCTGTAGCGAGATGGGGGCGGGGGGTCCTGGCAGGTTTGGCATCACAAAGGGAAGGCTAAGGGATGACTTGATCACGGCCCAGGAATACCTCTATGGGAAACTAAAATCTGACGACCAAGGGCTCTTGGATCTAACAAACGAAGGCAAAGTGAGATCCAAGGGCGGGAAGTTGAAGCTAGACAGATTCTGACTGGAAACAAGGTGCACAATTTTAACGAGGCGGGTCGCTAACCACTGGAATTAAGGCAGGGCAGTTCTCTGGCCTGTGCTAGACAGGAGCAGCTGCAACTCCTTAAAAGTGTGGCGGGGGGGGCCCACTGGTGCCCAAAATGCGGCCCCACCCCCTTTCCACCTGATGCCCCACCCCCTTTCCCCAAGGCCCCGCCCCCACACTGCCCCAGCTCCCCGAGCCCCGCTTCCGCACCACTTCTTCCTCCCCCAAAACTCCATCCCCTGCTCACTCCTTTCTGCTCCCTTCCCCCATCGCTCGCCCTTATGGCTGGTAAAAAGTGATGGGGCCATGGCCCCCGGGCCCCCTGGAGTCAGACTAGGTGATCACAACGGTCCCTTCTGGCCCTGGAATTGAGAACATTTTTCTGTTGAGTCCTGGGCTCACATTATGGGGACGGCTGCGAACTTGGGCTGGAGAAGGAGCCATTGCTTGGGGTTACAGCGGTCCCCTGTGTGGTATGAGTCCACAGGGCCTGCTCTGGGCTCCTGCACTTTCCCCACGTGGGCTTTTGTCTCTGGTCCTTTTACTGTTGTTCCCCAGTGGCCGATGGAAGTCCTACCTGTCCTGCACGTACCAACCCACCCTCCTGTTAGTCCTGTCCTGGGAGGGAACGTTAAAGTGGCCCCTGATTTCCGGCACTTCTGTTTTTGGGTGTCCAACTTGAAGCTTGGTATTTGCCTTCATACTACAGAGGGGCTGATCACCCCACCCCCCCCATGGTCTCAACTCAGCCCTTTGGGACATCAGGTCCTGCTAATGCCTTCTGCTAAGGTGCTGTATTAGCCAGCCGTTGGGAAACGGGGTCCGTCTCCACTCAAGACGCCCCGTCCCTGCACACCAGGCCGGGAGCTGCCTACTCCAGGCTAGTTTAACTACCGCGGGAGCGGTTACCGCCGAGAAATGCGAGGTTTGCCAAACCGTCCCAAAGGGTCTCGCTTCGCCTCGCGCATTAGCCTTTAAATACCCATACGGGGCGGGGGGGGGGGGTCAATTACAGATCGAAAATCCCATTGATGGTCCTGCGCTCGCTATCGCCCACTCGTGTGCTGAGCAGAGCCCTGACCCTGTGCGTGTTAGCACACAGCAGCCTGAGTAACGGGACATAAATAGCTGTAATCTCCCTAACTGGGTGATTACACGGCACTTATTCTGCAATTACAAATTCATTAGCTGGTGATTTGCATCCCGGAGACGGCTGGGTAATGAGACCAAGAGCTGGCGGGTTTCTCTTCGTGCCGAGCCTAAGCCTTAACGATAATTGCGGTGCAATTTTAGGAAATGGAGGAAAAGAGCAAATTTGTGAAAGGCGCTTTCCGTGCATGCAGATGAGTCTGGTACCACGGCTACACCCACTGTCTCCGGTCGCCAGGCCTTCCACTCCCGCCCTGGGCTGTGTCTTGGGGGCAGGGAGTTATTTGCACGTGTGCAATTTGTGTGTGATTGCACGTTATTGAAAGGTGGTTCATATATACCAAGATCAGGGAAAGGAGTGGGAGAGCTGGCTTCCAGGGGCAGGGAACGAGGCTAAAGCATCTAATCGACCTAACCAGGCTTTTCCAGCTCTCCCAAGACTGAGCCACCCCAGGGTGGAAGGAGCCAACGTGCCGCGGGTTTCCTCCTTCTTTCCTGCAGGTGCCCACGCTGGGGACAAGCAAAGCGCCCGCAGCGCCTCGAGAAATGGAGATGAAGCCGCTCGCCAAAGCCCGCCGTGCTCTCAACCGAACGGGAACCCTTCGCCGTGTCGTGGAGAACTCTTCCCCCCTGCCCCATCTCGTCCCCACTGCCCCATTCCAGCCTGCGCCTCGTCCTAACGCTAGTGCTCACTGTTTGGAAATAGAATAATGTCCCCGCCCCATGGTGCTTTCCCCGCCGTGTGCACCGGCTGCAGACACCCCGGGCAGCCAGCAGAACCCCCTTTGTGGCGTAGGTTAAAACCACCCTTGACTAGTCAATAACACCATGATTTTTACCTATGAGCTGCCCTGTCTCTCAGCTTCTTTGCCTGATGCTTCCTAGGATTGTGTTGTTTGCTGGGCTCCAGTCATGTGTCCAGGGCCTCACCGTGCTGGGCGCTGTGCATTATATATTAGGTACATTACACCTGTGCCTGGTAATTCGCCAGGGCCCCACCGTGCTGGGCGCGGGACGGACACAGAATGAAAAGCCAATCCCTCCCCATGCCGCCGAACACTCCTTTGCAGAGGGAAATGTTCTCCATGTGGGAGAAGGGGTATTAAGGCTTGTGCTTCAGGGCTAATGCCGATTTCTAACTATAAAAGACCAGGTTTGTACTATGCAAGGCATCAGTGCAGTACAGGGGTCCTACGCCTTCCTCTCTAGCCTCTGGCACTGGTCACTGCCAGAGACAGGATACTGGGTGAGATGCTGATCCAGCCCAGCAATTCCTATGCTCCTCGGCACAGAGAGGGCAGGTGATTTGCCCAAGGTCCAGAGCTGGGAAGAGAATCCGGATGTCCTCACACCCAATCCTCTGCTTGAACCTCAAGCCTGGCCTTTCTCCCTTCTCGCATGCCGTTAGTAACGAGGCATCTTCCCTAGCTTCTTGCAATGTTGCCCATCCATTTGGTATCCCAGCCTCAGAGGTAACAACCCAAAAATCCTGCCTGGTTGCTGTAGAGAGCCGGGTGGAACTTTTGCAATTAAACATTTTTTTCTTGTCAAAATCTGCTGTTGAAACTGTTTGGCAGAGAAGAAAAGGAGGACTTGTGGCACCTTAGAGACTAACCAATTTATTTGAGCATGAGCTTTCGTGAGCTACATCTCTAAGGTGGTGAGGGGCAGGGCGGACTCGCTGGCTACTTGCAGCGAGGGGCCAGCTTGAACATGTGACCTTGTCTATCCCTAAAAAGGGGCCTTTGGGGCCCATTCCATTTTCTGAAAGCGTTTTGGGTTTGAAGCCAGTGTGGAACAAACCAGCTTCTGAAACCTCGAGAAAGCTGGGGTGAAAGGGGATTGTCCATCTCCACCCAGTTCTAGTCCCACCCTTCCTCTGGCCAGATAGAAGGTGTTTTCTTTCAGGAAGGATTGCCCATTAACTCTGGCCTCTGAGCGGGAGCATCCTTGTAAGACCTACAAGGTCTCGACGAGCTGAGTGTAGGTCCTAATGTGCTGGCTGAGACGCTGAGGATTCGGTGACTTTTCTCGGAACCGTGCGCCTGCAATTCTCCTGCCCTTCCAGAAGTGACTCTTGAATCAGCAGGCAGCCGGAGTGTGCTCGTTTGCCTTGCATTGTACAGCGACAAGGTGGGGGAAGCAATTATCTTGTATGGGACCAACCTCGAGCTGCACAGAGTTCTTCTTCAGGGCGGGGAGAGGTCCTCGGAGTGTCATGGCCAAGTGCAAGGTGGGACAGATTGTTAAGCATAAGCAGCTAACACATATTGTGAGAAGTCATTCAAAGGGGCGGCGGGTTACAGACTGTTGTAAAGAGCCATCAATCCGTCTCTACTGAGTCCAGGCTTTTTGGTGCCTAGCAAAGTTATGAATTGTAGCTCCCAGTCCAGCGCACTAGGCCGGGGTCTTGATCTCAACCCTGTCTGATGTTTATACCATCCCCTCAGTCAACTAGTATTCACCTGTAACACTTCCTGGCTGTGTAAGCACTGTCCGTTTCAGGAAAGCCTTTAAGATGCATCTCCTGGAAGTTCACAAGCTGCCTTTTTTCTCTCCCCACTTTGCTAACTTGCTGACTGACCGGGACTCTGGCCCAGACCTTTCCATTTCACTCCCCCACCCTTTCAAACTGTTGTTTCCCTCGAATCAGCTAAGAGGAGATCCTGGAAAGTTCAGAAAGTTCAGAATTTTATGAGCAGAGTGGCAAACAGAAGTAGCCACAGGGCATCATTTAACCACTTTGTTGCTGCAGCAGAACAGCTGTAATTAGGGTCCGAACAATGCCTGGGAAAGCAGCAGCTCTTTAGAGGGGCTCCTGGTGGGTCTCTGAGTCATGGATTTGTGTCACTGATGCAATGCAGGGAGAGGGAATGGATTCCCACTTGGGCATCAGCAGAAGAATCGTCAGCTCAATTCCTACGGCAGAATCTTTCTCTGTTGCAGATCCCAGTTGGATTTGGGGGGAGAAGGGGGGGTTAGTAGCACCAGCAGTAAGAACAATCAAGCCATGTTCTCTTCCTCCGTGTAAGAGCAGGACCAAGGGAGCCAGTTGTGGCTCCGAGAGTCTCTGCCCTGGCTCCGGGTCAGAACACGTGGGAGCTGCTCTATTTTCTGCCAGCCAGCTGCATGTCCACTGTGGGGACTCCCTGATGCCAAAGGGGTGCTTTCTGCTCCTTTTGCTCCCAAAGGGCAGGGAACAGAGTACAGAACTTGCTCCGTCATCTTTTACTTTGAGCACGATTGTCAAGGAGCCAGAATAAATTCTAGAACACCACAAGGGTGGATTTTCGGCCTCTATCCTACCGGGGGAATACCTGAGACACCTGTCACCACGGGATGCTCCCTGTGGCTGCATTGTGAAGCTCACAGGTGTGCAGTGGAGAAGCAGTTAACTATCAAAAGCCGAAACAATACAAAACTCAGATCCACAGTAAGAGTCGTTTAGCAGGAAACTGGCCTCAGGCCCTGCCTCCCATGGCCAGTGTAGAAATAAGAGACGGTTTATGGCATTTGAAAATCCAGGCTTCTCTCTGGAGTGGGAGGCAGGAGCAGCTAGCGCTGACAGACAGACTCGGATAAGCCCTCCGGTTGCTGTTAGCGGGCGCCGTGGGCTGGTTTGATGCAGCCACGCTGCCCTCTTGCGAATTTGGTTCCTCGCGCAGCTCTGACACCAGAATGCTGTGGGAACCAGCCAGCGACCCGTCTGAAAGATGGGATTTGCCAAACGCAAGGATGTGGGCGCTGACGGCAGGGGAACGTAGGGATGGGACACAACACTGATTCCTGGATGCAACTAGTGCCCTGGGCAGAGCACCAAGAAGCAGGCCAGGGAGGCAACGAGCTTCTTCCACTGGTGTCCAGCTCAGGGCAAGTCCAGGGTCTTTTCTGGCTTACCCACTTGAGTGGCTCAGTGCAGGTGCTTTCAGATGGACCCAGTCAGCAAAATGGGGCCAAACGCTGGCTGGAGGACTGCAGAGGCGGTCAAAGTGCATGAATGACCTGGCAGTGTGCTCAATCTCCCAGATTGCTTTCAATAGTCACTAGGAGATCGATGCGGATTCCGGGAGACTCCAGGCCAAACCTGGAGGGTTGGCAACCCTAGATAGAGGCCAGGGGCTCTGTTTCTCCTCCCCAATCCCCTCGGTTCTGGCGGTCACGGCTGGGATCCGCACCAGGAGCTCTGCCCCCCACGCCAGCCTTCAGGCATTCCTGCCCCAGCACTTGTTCCATCAATCCCAATGGAGTGGTTCGGGGCCCTCACTCTCCTGCCAGCCCCAGAAGAGCCGGGCCAGGATTTGCTCCTCACCACAAGGGCAACCTGCTCTGTCCTTGCTTGTACGTTGCTCCAGGGCCCAGTTGTCCTCCTGCCCCATGTCCCCCAGTCTCCATCCTGCCCCCAGTGTCCCCTAGCTTGCTTTGTGGTTGGGGGACACAGGGGGTCACTGCACCCTCTGCAGATCCTCCTCTCGGGTGACCCCGCCCTGACTGCCCCCAGCTCCCCTGACCCCCCTTCCCTCTCCAATACCTGACCCCCAGTCCTTCCTCACTGCCCCCGTGATGAAGTGGGAATGTTCTTAATGTTTTCTCTGAATACTGTGTGGGTGCCTCAGTTTCCCCTATGCAGTTCTTAAGTGCCTAGGTGGGGGGCTAAGGGGGTGTGATTGTGGCGGCACCCTAGGGGGCCAGTGGGATGGTGTCTGCCCAGAGGATGGCCGACACCCTGTCTCCTGGGGACTGATGGCCTGGGCCCCTCCCCTGCAAGGTGCCAACTGAAGGCGTTGGGGAACAAAGAGATCGGGTGGCCTCCTAGCCCGGGAAAGAGACAAAGCCGGAGAAGGGGCTGGAGAGTTTCAGTTTGGAGCCAGCTGGGGAAATGGAGGGAGGCCCAGATGGGGCTCTGGCCTCCCTGCCCCCCAAGACGGACCCGGCTGAGGGGTCCTGTTCTCTGTACCTACAAGCTCCGTTTTAGACCATGTTCCTGTCGTCTAATAAACCTTCTGTTTTCCTGGCTGGCTGAGAGTCCCGTCTGACTGCGGAGTTGGGGGCAGGACCCTCTGGCCCCCCCAGGACCCCGCCTGGGCGGACTCGCTGTGGGAAGCGCAGAGAGGGGCAGAGGAAGCTGGATGCTCCGAGCTCAGACCCAGGAAGGTGGAAGCCGGGTGAGCTTCTTGCCCTGGGGGGAGGAGGCTCCCCCAGAGTCCTGCCTGGCTGCGTAGGGAGCAGTTCCCGAGCATCGCCCCCCCAGCTTCCCCTAATCCCGCACCGGACCCTACCCCATCTCCTGAGAGCTCCCTCATCACCTGACTTGAGCCCCGCTCCCCATCAGCTGCCCCCTCAACTTCCCTCAGCTCTCCCCACTCCCACCCCCAGCTCCCCTGTTCCTTCCCCCTTCCCCCCACTCCTCCCGCCCCCACCCCCAGCTCCCCTCTTCCTGCCCCTTTCGCCCCCACTCCTCCCGCCCCAGCTCCCCTCTTCCTGCCCCCTTCCCCCCAGCTCCCCTCTTCCTGCCCCTTTCGCCCCCACTCCTCCCGCCCCCGCCCCAGCTCCCCTCTTCCTGCCCCCTTCCCCCCACTCCTCCCACCCCCGCCCCCAGCTCCCCTCTTCCTGCCCCCTTCCCCCCACTCCTCCGGCCCCCAGCTCCCCTCTTGCTGCCCCCTTCCCCCCCCTCCTCCCGCCCCCGCCCCCAGCTCCCCTCTTCCTGTCCCCTTCCCCCCACTCCTCCCGCCCCCCGCCCCCTCTTCCTGCCCCCTTCGCCCCCACTCCTCCCACCCCCGCCCCAGCTCCCCCTCTTCCTGCCCCCTTCGCCCCCACTCCTCCCGCCCCCCGCCCCCCTCTTCCTGCCCCCTTCCCCCCACTCCTCCCGCCCCCGCCCCCCGCCCCCCTCTTCCTGCCCCCTTCCCCCCACTCCTCCCGCCCCCGCCCCCAGCTCCCCTCTTCCTGTCCCCTTCCCCCCACTCCTCCCGCCCCCGCCCCCCTCTTCCTGCCCCCTTCCCCCCACTCCTCCCGCCCCCGCCCCCAGCTCCCCTCTTCCTGTCCCCTTCCCCCCACTCCTCCCGCCCCCGCCCCCCGCCCCCCTCTTCCTGCCCCCTTCCCCCCACTCCTCCCGCCCCCGCCCCCGCTCCCCTCTTCCTGCCCCCTTCGCCCCCCCTCTTTCCCCCGCCCGCGCTCCCCCGGCTGCAGTGCCCCCTCCGGGGCAGGGGCGGCGCTGGGCCGGGCGGGCTCGGGGCGCTCGGCGGGGCGGATGGAGCCTCTTGCCGGGCCCGGCGCGGCCGCCTCCTCGGCGGGGCCGGGCGGGCGCAGCGGGGGGGTCGGAGCCTTTGTGTGGAGCCGAGCGGGGATGGTGCCCGGAGCCGGCCGGGTAAGGGGGGGCCCCGCCCCGCCCCCCGTGGGACCCCGCCCCCCCCCGCGGGACCCCCTGCGCCCCCCGCCGGACCCCCCCTGCCGCCCCGCCCCCATGGGACCCCCCCGCGGGACCGCCCCTGCCGCCCCCCCATGGGACCCCGCTCCCCCCGCGGGACCGCCCCTGCCCCCCGCCCCGCCCCCCCATGGGACCACCCTCTGTCCCCCCCACATGGGGGACCCCTGCCCCCTCCCCCCCAGCAGGGGACCCCTCCCCTATGAGCCCCCCCTTTCCCCCTGAATGAGGGACCCCTGGATGGGGCCCCACCCCCTGTGAGACCCCCCCGCCCTCCCGAATGGGGGACCCCCCTCCTGCCCTCCTGCGGTATAGGGGATCCCTGCCCCCTGCATAGGGGATCCTCCTTGGCATAGGGAAGCCCCCCTTTTCCTGCACAGGGGACCTGTATTGCCTCCATCCCCTTTCTATGGCCCCCTTCCCTGGGGACAAGGATCCCGATCTCGCCTTTCTTCCCCACTCCTGTGTCGGGGGGACCCCTCTTCCCCCTCCCTCAGTACGGGACTCGACTTTCCCCTTCCCGGCTGGTGTGGGGGATTGTTATTTAGGAGACCCCCCCCCAACCCTCTCTCTGTAGAAGGGACTCCTCCGCCTCTTGCATGGGGATCTCTCTCCACCTACCTCGCATGTGGGGCTCGCCCTCCCTTTTTGGGGGGATCCCAGCTGCCTGGATAGGGGCCGCCTCGTTTGCCAGCTCTGCCCCCTCCTAAGTTCTCCCCACTGGCACCTACTGCTGTCCCTCTCGTTCGCTCCCCAAGCAGTTTTCCCTTTGCCCCCCCCCCACCTATGGACACGCTGGCCCCCAAAGCCCCCTTATCCTCCTAAAGAGCCTCCTCTCACCCTGTCTGCCTCCTGCTGGATTGCCCCATTCCCCTGCCATGTCCCTTCCCACCCTTTCATCCACCCCCCAACCCTGTGATGGAGAAGAGCCCCTATTCCCACCCCACCCCCCCAAAACACGTACTCCAAGTGGGGGAGCCCGGGTGGCTCATCCCATCTTCCCGCTTTCCTTACTCATCCATGCAGCCCCCCTTCATCTTTTCCCCCTCCTCCCATCCGTCCCCCCCTTTACCCTGAGGACCCCATCCCTTCTTTTGGCCTCTGGGGTGTTCACCCTCTAGCAGAGGGAAGGAAAGCACGTAATAAACAGGCAAACCTGAGGTTGTACACGTGCAAAGCAGGAGAAGCAGCTGCTATAGGCAACATTAACGGGGCCCGGGGTGACCTACTCCGTGAGGTTCAGGGGTAGCATTGCATGCTCTACGCTCCAAACAGAGCAGCCCCCGTTACCTCCCATTTCCCTGGTGAATTATTGATCAGGGTGGCTTTTCTTTTCTTTTTCCAAGATTCCCTATTTAAGAAAATCCCCCGGGTGCTAAGAGTCTGCAAACTGGGACACCCTCTTTCATGGCTTCTAAACTGGAGCAACCTTGGGCTTCCTGTGTCGCCTCCCTGCTTGGTATCTGGATCTTCCCCTTGTCTCCTTTGGTGTCCTGGAAAAATTGAGAACAGGCTTCCAGGGCTGAGGTTCAAAGCCCGCTGCTGCCCTGGAGACGTTTCGATACTGAGTAGTCTGTCCAATTTGAAAACTGTCCCAACAGATCATAAACAAAAAGGGGGTGCAGGCCGAGTTGGAGCGGTCTGGTTGGGTCTTGCAGAGATTGGTATCACAAGTCCAGTCTTCTGTAATAATGGTCTGGAAAGACAGCGGATGCAGATGCCGGTGAGAGCAGAGAAATAATTCAAAGAGATGTAGAGAGTTTAGAACTAGGGGCAAGACCTGAAATGAGAGCCAACCTGGCAAACGAAAGTCAGTGCGTGTGTTGGGGCCGGGGGAGGATCTGGAGATATTCAGTGGGCAGAAGGAATCTACGGAGCCGTACTGATTAGAAGAGACCTAGAAGTGATTGTGCCCAGCCAGTGAGGAAGAAGTCTGCGATCCAGGTTGCGTATTTATAAAGATAGCTAATGAGGCTACTACAGAACGGGTAGGGAAGTTGTGCTGGGAGACAGAGACCCCCATGTAGAAACAGGAGTTCAGATAGTGACTGGCAAAGTAAAGTACTTTTTGTAGCAAGGTTTTTTATTTGGTCTTTTTGCACCTTTGACCTAAGCCCTTATTTGAGCCTCTCTCGTCATTTGGAAAGGGTTTGAGGCACTGTACCTGTGGATGGGAGCGTGAACCATTCTCTAGGTCAATCAAAGGGACTCCGCCGGAGGGAATACCTGGGGGTTGCTCGTTGTAGGACTCCCCCGTTTGCTTTTTGAGGCAGGGAGCTGACAATGTTTAATAATAGCTATAGCCTAGCTCAGACACAGGAGGCGAAGGAGAGAACTTGCTCTAAGTTTTTCACACGCTTCTTAAAGTTGCAGACTTTTATTTTTTATTCCTTGTGTTGCTGCAGGATCTTAAACTAGGTTCACTCATGAACCTCGGGTGCGATACCAGGCTCACTGCACCACTAGTCTCTTCTGTGGTGGCAGTTCTTGTATTTTTAACCTCTGCCAATTCTGATGGTGAAGTGAGAATTGCCCCGGGGGTATTTTGGATCTCAACGAGATAAGAATAGTAGTAATTCTTTAGGCGTTGTCTACATGCAGAAGCTGCACTGGTTTAACTGAGATCAGAGCCAGTTTGTGTGTAGTCAAGGCATTAGAAAAAATATCTAGCATATGCCTCTCCCGAGAGGGGGAAAAAGAAATCCTTAACCCTTCACTGCTTCGGTATCTGTATATCTTCTAAATTGTACAGGGCAAAAGGTAGGTGCTAGTCATGTCACTTCATGCAGAACTGGAAGACACTCAAGCCATGTCTACACTGCAAGTCCTGCAGCAGCCGAGCTATGGGGCACTGCAGTGTAGATGCTTCCTACTGCCATGGAAGGGCGGTTTCCATTGCTGTTGGTCGTCCACCTCTCCAAGAGGCAGAATCCTTGATGGCTCTCAGCGGCGTGAGTTTTTCATACCCCTGAGCTCCTAACTTATGTCAACCTAGCTTTGAAGAGTGGACCAGATATTAGTGATGAGGTCAGCATAAGAACCGACACAGAATGGAATCATAGAAATGTAGGGCTGGAAGGAACTTTGAGAAGATGCCCCCTCATACCGAGACAGGATTAAGGATACCAAGCCCATCCCTGTCACATGTTTGTCTAACCTGGTCTTAAAAATCTAAAGGATTTATAGGTGTGTGTAGAATTCAGCAGGTCTCGAGTCCCAGCATCATAATCATTATGCCAAATTACACATTCCCATTTAGGAGAGTAGCAAGAATGCAGCCACTTCTCTCTGTCCTTTCATTTGTGACATACCCCCTCACCTCTGTGTATCTTTTGAATGGGTAATTGGAGAGAGAATCTCCACCAATGCAGCCGCCTTGTTCCCTGGCTGCTAATTACGCAATTAGAACAGTGAAACATGCCGGGACATTTCACCCCAAACCAGCGATGACCCCGAAGTGTAAACTCTTGCATTTTCCTCTTTTTAGAGCCCCTCGCCCTGCCAGCCGCTGGATGCTAAGCGCCTGGTGAACGAATGAATAAGAAGCTGACCAGGAGGAGGGACTCTTGAGCAACTGCTAAGATGGGCATGAGGATCAAGCTACACAGCACGGATCACCCCAACAACCTGCTGAAGGAACTCAACAAGTGCAGGCTGTCGGAAACCATGTGTGACGTCACCATTGTGGTGGGGAGCCGCTCCTTTGCTGCACACAAAGCAGTGCTGGCCTGCGCGGCCGGCTACTTCCAGAACCTCTTCCTGAACACGGGGCTGGATGCTGCCAGGACCTACGTGGTGGACTTCATCACGCCGGCCAACTTTGAGAAGATCCTGAGCTTCGTCTACACCTCTGAGCTCTTCACGGACCTCATCAACGTGGGCGTCATATACGAGGTGGCAGAGAGGCTGGGCATGGAGGATCTGCTCAAGGCCTGTCATTCCACCTTCCCCGACTTGGAGAGCTCAGCTATTACCAAGCAGCCCTCTGGGTCGGGAGAAGGCCGTTCGGGCCCTTTGGGCAGCACGGCGACAGAACCAAACCCTTCCCTGGGCGAACTCCGAAGCAGTGGGGAGCACTTTGGCCCTGAGCGGAATTGCATCTTGCATGGGGAATTGGCAGGTGGCTACAAAGAGGATGACAGGAATCCCATGAGTGAATCCGGCCATAACCTGCCTTTGATGCATCAACCACTTCCAAAGACAGAAGAGCAGGAACTGACGGAGCAGTTTGCTTCTCCCACCAACATGGTGGCTCAACCCAGCCTGGGCAATGTAAACATGGCCGTTCAAACCACTGCAAGTACCTGCCAGCCCTATAAGATCCAGAGTAACGGGGACTTCAGCAAGACCAGCTTTTTTGCTGCTGATACCTCGCTGGACATCTCCACCGGGAGCAACTCCTGCCCCAGCAACAGTGACCATTCCAAAGATCAGGGCTTCGGGCAGATGGATGAGCTGCAGCTGGAGGACCTAGGGGCTGACGAGCTGCACTTTGAAGACGCTGGCGAAGAGCTGGGCCCGGTGGAGGAGGTCATAGAGCTGAGCGACGACAGCGAGGAGGAGCTGGCCTTTGAGAACGACAGCCGGGAGAGCAAGGCCATGCCCTGCCAGGTGTGCAAAAAGGTCCTGGAACCCAACATCCAGCTGATCCGCCAGCATGCGAGGGACCACGTGGACCTGCTCACCGGCAACTGCAAGGTGTGTGAGACCCACTTCCAGGACCGGAATTCCCGGGTCACCCATGTCCTGTCCCACATCGGGATCTTCCTCTTCTCCTGCGACATGTGCGAGACCAAGTTCTTCACCCAATGGCAGCTCACCCTCCACCGGAGAGAGGGGGTGTTTGACAACAACGTTATCGTCCACCCCAGCGACCCACTGCCCAGCAAGATCAACCTGTTTGGCGGAGGGCCCGGCTCGGAGCTGGTATGCACCGCCTGCGGGAAGCCACTGGCCAAAGATTTCCATACTGTCCGGGGCCACATCCTGGACCACGTGAACTTGAAAGGCCAAACATGTGGCGTGTGCGACCAGCGGCAGCTCAACCTCTGCAGCCTGATGTGGCACACCCTGTCCCACCTGGGCATCTCCGTCTTCTCCTGCTCCATCTGTGCTAACAGCTTCGTGGACCGGCATCTGCTGGAGAAGCACATGGCCGTCCATCAAAGCATGGAAGAGACTCTCTTCCGATGCCATTTCTGTGGCCAGAGCTTCAAGCTGGAAGCGGCTTACCGCTACCATGTCAGCCAGCACAAGTGTGGCGGCAGCCTGGACGTCGTCCGGCCCAGCTTCGGAGACCGGCTCCAGCAGCAAGCCCTCCAGAAGAGGAAGGTGCCCGAGGAATTCCTGAGCGAGGACCTGGCTCTGCAGAACCAGCCAGGAAACAGTAAGTACAGTTGCAAGGTCTGTGGGAAGAGGTTTGCCCACACGAGCGAGTTCAACTACCACCGGAGGATTCACACGGGAGAAAAGCCGTACCAGTGCAAAGTGTGTCACAAATTCTTCCGCGGCCGCTCCACCATCAAGTGCCACCTGAAGACGCACTCGGGGGCCCTCATGTACCGATGCACTGTGTGTGGACACTACAGCTCCACCTTAAACCTCATGAGCAAGCACATCGGCGTCCACAAAGGCAGCCTGCCGCCCGATTTCACCATCGAACAGACGTTCATGTACATAATCCATTCCAAAGACGCAGAGAAAAACACAGACAGCTGATTGGGCGGCGCTGGTGGGGTGGGGGAGCAAACGCTAACTACAAAGTGGTGACTTCCCCCCCCGCACTTACACACAGTTTTAACAGTCGGACGTTGTGGATGGAATTCTCCTTTTTTTTGGCCTTGCCTCGGGATTTTTCTGTCAGCATCCTTCCAGTTAACAGCACGTGAGCTAAACCAAGAAGCCCGTTCTTTTTACTTACCTCCAGTCCCGTTAGAGGCCGCTGAGTTCCGTGGGTTGGCGTTTCTTCCCAGGTTTTGGATCGAATAAATAGACAACTATCTCCGTCGAGCAGGTTAACCCTAGCCTGGCCTCCCACGGGTTTGAGATCACACCTAGATTTATGCTGCTATTATCCTGACAGCCAGCCTCAGTAGAGCCGGGACGGGAAGGTGTTGGACACGAAAACACTAGTTGGTTTTCTTCTAGGCTTTGCTGCTACTGGGAGGAACAAAGCAGAGTGTGGCCTTGCGGCCCGGGGGAGCGCTCCAGGAGTTCGACTCGATGTCGATTGTTTTCTCCCCCTTCCCCCCACCCCCCTCCTCCCTTACCTCTTCTGAAGTTTAAAACTCACATTTGAGAGGCAGGGAAATGTAGGCGTAACAGAGCAGCCCTAGCTCAGGGGCAGAGCTTCTTGGAGAAAAGAGGAGAGGTCTCTCTCCATAAACTAGGCTAGATTGTCAGGAGGGAACACGTTACCCTCTCTGAAGAGTCACTGAGCCAGGGGAAGCACGTAGCAAATGCTGGCAGAAGGGCTGGTTTCCCCCTTGTTCTCCCCCTTTCCCCACCCCCATACCGAAGAGAAATGTTTTTAGCAGAGATCATCCCCTCCAAGTCTCTGTGATTCTGCGGCCTGCAGTAGCACGTTAATGCTGCTGGGGCACGACCTATAGTTCACCCCGCCCTCCCTAAGTCGGTAGCGCAGCAGTCTAGGGGTTGGGGTGTGGAGCGCATCGGGCATCCCTGTGCCCGTGCAAAGCCCTCTAGGATGAGGGTGAAAAGAAACCATTGCCTTAACTCCTGGGAAGGTGTCTTTGCAGGAGGAGCGTTCTCCCCGCTACAGGGTTAGCCCCCCACCCCACGGTAATGGAACGGCCACCGGGTCTGTGACGTGGTTTCTATCGAAGGACGTCGTCGGTGCCGACGTAAGTTTGCCCCTTCTGCTTTCACCGGGTAACGCTGTAGCTTTTCTCACGCGCCCGCTGGTGGAGGTCGGGGTGGTTTTTCCAGCGTGACTGCCCTGGGGCGGGGAGGGGAAAGGCTTGAATATGACACATGTAGCAGCCTGGGTTAGAGCTGTCCCTAGGTGACTTGTACTACCTCATAACCTGGAAGCGCTCGGGGCTTGAAGCCACGGGAACCTGTGGACAGGCTCCCGAATTTCCATACACTCTGAACACTCTGCCAGCCTCTCCCCCAGCCTCCCAGGGAGTTTCTCTCTGCCATGTTGCCTCTGAGAGGGACTGACTCACACGAGCTGCGCTCGAAGCAACGGGCTAAAAAAGCCACGCTGGCCGGGGCTCAGGCGAGCCCCGGATCTGAGCTTGGGTGACTCGCTAGAACTGACGCTGGTGCTGCAACATCCAGGCTACTATTTTTAGCGCACCTGCTCGAGCAAAACTAGCAGGAGTCTGTCTGCCCGGGCAGGGAGGCTCGGTACCGCTGCAGTGTAGACACCCTCAGAGGAGCAGCGTTGGTCTGGCCTGGGGGCTAGGCGTCCCTCTGTTCGAACCCCACTGCTAACACTAACTTCACTGTGGCCTTGGGCAAGTCGCTTCGCCTCTCTGCCTCAGTTTCCCCATCTGTAAAATGGGGGTGGTAATACTTGTGGTACCTACCTACCTCCCTGGAGCGTGGAGACGATTAACCAGTTACTGTCTGTAAAGCGTGTTGAAGATGAAGAGCACTTATGAGTATTATTATGTAGCATCCTAGGGAAATGACCCCTCACGTTCCTTTAAAAAAAATCCCTCTCTACCCCTGCCCCTGGGTGCAATAACAGCCCTGCAGCATCATCCTTCTCCATACTCTGCTCTCTGTTTCTGGGCCCTGTGAAACGAACACTCGTGATAAAGGGTAGGATGAGGACTGGAAGAGGAATGAGCAATAAGCAGAGACTGCTTGCTTAGCCTAGCGCGCCAGGAGTAGGTTTGCAGGAGGGGCATGATGTCTGAGGGTGCACAAGGAAGGCAGGAGCTTGCGGTCTGAGGGGGCGAGGGCGTTAAGAGTTAATTGTGCCGGGAGCCCTGGGGAACGGAGCGAGTCTCTTGCTCATCTCCTGTTGATTAGAGTCAGGAGCGGTACCGATTCCGCCAGTCGGACTTCACGCTCTAGGGTTGGGGTGGGATTTGCAGAAGGGCAGCATCCCCGGCCACATTTGGAAGCTCCTGCTTTTTAGCACGGTCATCAGAATCCCTTCCCATCTGCAGCTGATGGTGGTTGTTTCAGTGTAAAGGTTTAATGCCCCCATTGGCTCGTCCTCAAGCTGCGATAAGGGCATGTGAGTGCAGGCGATGGAGACAGAGCCCTGAAGGCATCTGGCTGCATTCCTCCAGGCAGTGCCAGAGCTCACATGGGGAACCAACCACAGCTCCTGAGCAGAAGGAACCCTGCTGACCTCTGTCCTGACGTGCGCTTTCAAACACTGGTGCCCCAGTCAAACCACGTGGCACTGAGAAAAAGCCTATGGTGGCGAGACCATCATCTGAGATCTGCCCTCCGCAGTCTGTGTAATGTTAACCAGTTTAAGGGATGCCATATGCAGATATCCCTGGGTGGCTCCAAGCTTGACCCAGCCCCTGGATATGGCCCTCCGTGGAAGGTGTTTAAAAGAGGAAGTGGATGTTGAAATGACAGAATTCTAGTTCTTGATTAAATCTGCCCCGAACTTTGCTAGCCCTGGCTGACTTCTGACTTCATGTCGAACTGAACAGGTGAACCCGTGATTGTCATAGAGGGGGTGTCCTACACCTTTCCCTGCCCCACCTGGTGCTGATTAAATGGACGGCAGGTCTGAGCCAGTAGGGGAGTTCCTATGAAGGGTTTTCAAAGAGGCAAGAAGTTCTTGGGTGCCCGTAGCCATCCGGAGGTCATTCTGCCATGTCCCAGAAGCCGTGTGGAACACTGCGGGGCCCTGCCCCACGGTTACAGGTCTGCACACCCGAATCGAAGCAGTGAAGCAAAAGCCTTTGCGGCAAAAAAGCAAACAAACGCTTGGACGCTGAAACACTAACAGGCAAGCGACACCCTGCCCAAGGTCAGGGGAAGGGAAGGCTGACGCCTGCCCCCTTTTTTGTGACTTTGGTCTGTGGCTACGTCTACAGTATGAGCTAGGGGTGTGAGTCCCCTTTTGTGTCCACAAACTCATTGAGGTAGCAGTGAAGCCAGGGTGGCCCAGGGACCGTCTGAAACCGCTGGGTATTTACTTGGCATGGCTAAGGGAGGCCCCTGCTGCCGCTCCCCGGGCTTTGACTGCTCCGCAGCTCAGCGTAGCTGTCGCCAGTGGGTCGAGGAAGGGGGAGCTGTTGGCTCAGCCAGGGAGTGGCCAGAACTCAGATCCCTGCCCACTTCTGCCTTTGGCTTTTCCCTGGGTTATAATGACCCATTTAGTTCTCCCTCAAAACACTCAAGAGATTGGCAGCCATTTGGCTGTGTGCTTGCTCGTGGGCAAGTGAAAAAAATTCCAATTTGCAAAACTCTGTCACAAGTTCAATCCCTTAGTTTCTCCGAATTGGGATGAGGCCAAAACCTGGGCTCTCCCTCCCAGCCTGGGGATCCAATGCCAGGATCCAGCCGTCACCCTCCGGAGCGCCCTCCCTCGATATGTCACACCCAAACTCCACGGGAGTCAAGTAGAGTCTTTCTGCTAACTTTGGTGGGCTTTAGATCAAGGCCCTAACCCCAGACGCGATGACCAATCTGCAACGGGTCCCGGTGTCTTCCCTTGCTTGGGCCACCTTCTTTACCATTCAGTTTTCTGCCTCCCCTTTGTCATATGGCTACCACTGGGTCCTGCCAGCCAGGCTAGGAGATCAAGTAGTCTTCACGAGCAATGTCCATGCCGATTTGTGGAGGGCAGGATTGGGTGGAGTCCAGAGACAGAAGGAGTCTCTCTCATGCTTTCACCATGAAACCAGAGCAGGCTGCTCTGCTCCCTGAGGCTAGAGTCCAAAATCCGTCTCCCATTCCATGTATGTCCTGCTGATGCCCCCGGCTCACAGAGCAGGTTTTTTGGTTTACTGCCTAACAATTATTCATGCCCTGGCCCCGCTTCAGAAGCCAAATGCTACTTCTAGTGGGAAAAGGTAACAGTATTGTCTGGTAGACCATACAGGGGGCTGGGAGAGAGACCCCCTGGGTTCTGTTCCCAGCTTTTCCACTGGCTCAGTGTGTGTTCTTGCAACAATTACCCCCCAGTCTGTAAACATGGGGGACACTAAGAAATACCTACCTCACATGGGGGTGGGTGTGAGGTTTAATTCTTGTTTGTAAAGTGCTTTGGGATCCTTGGGGATGAAACAGTGGCTTCTAACAGGACAACACGTTATCAACGATCCAAGCGGCATTGTAGGGTTCTGTTTAATCCCAGGTGCCTGCCACGCTAATGGGGCTTGAAGCAAGCTGCCCCGTCTCTAACCAAAAGGCAGCAGTGTCCCAATGGAGAACGTAACCTTATGAGACTGGTCTCTTTATTTCTGAAACACAAATGGGGTTTGCTTTCATTCCTCCCCTCTCCCGAAGGATCCAGATCTCTTAAAAAAAAAAAAAAAAAAGCAGAAAAAAGAGTTGTAATTACTGTCTAACCTTTCCATTAAATTAATAGTAGGTACTGACCTGATATTTAAGTGGTTACTATCTATTTGCTGTAAAGTTTTGTATATTTTGTAAACTCCCCCACGCCCCCAAAACAGTAGATGTCTAAAATCATTGTACATCGGATTCTTTTATACTCCATCATCCAGCACAAAGTGTGGTTTTTATTTAGAATAATAAAATGGAAAACAGCCACCCCTTGCGCTTTGTGTCTTTTTGTTTATTATTTTTAATCTGCAGGTGGAGGTTTGGGCCTTTTTGGTCAAGCACTGCGTGGGTCCCAGACCTGATTCTCAGTTACCCTTTTCCCGGGGCCAGGGCAGTGGCAGGGGTCAAGGATTGTAGGTAATTCTGCTGCACTCTGCCTGGCCTCAGGGCCACTCTAAATTAGACTCGTCTTCTGCTTCCAATAGCCTCTGGGGAGCAGAGAATGGCCATGCTGCAGTATAGTCTGGTCATACCCTAATTCATCCCCTATGCCAAGGGCCCTTCCATCAGCTCTATATTGCCACAGGGGGGATTCCCAAGGAGTCATTTATACCTGCGTTTAAGGCCCCTTTATGCTGCCAGAGTTAGTGTAATCGCGAATCTGGCCCAGACAGCCTGCTGGTTGTCTTCCCTTTGGCAAACCAAACTAACAAGCCGGTGATGCTGGTCTTTTCAAGAGGCACATTCCTTTCTCTGGGGACAAGGCTGCCTTCTCAGTTCAGGGAGAGAACGAACTGGTTGTTCTGCTGATGCAAACAAATGAGGCAGCCGTTCCCCGGAGGAGCCGTCTCAAGTGCTTCTTGGAGAAAACCCAGACATTTGTCTTCTCGGTGGAAGGGCTGCCGTGTGTGGGAGACAATGAGCCGAAAGTCAAATGGCTTCGCTCTAGCAGGCCTGCCAGTTTAATAGATTCCGACGTCTGGGAGGACGGGCAAGCTCTTTGCTGCCCCTTCTCGCCAACCGGAACCCTTCCATAAAACTGTGGGAGAGCTGGTGCTGGAGTTGTACTAGAGAGCTTTGGGAGACGTGCCAGAGACGCTATAGGGATTTCTCTGTTGCTGCTGATTTTATGTGGAAGCCACCCAGATGCTACAGGGATGGGCAGCGGTATGACACCCTGCATGGATAGATCTGGATTCATTTCCCATCTCTGTCACAGACTTCACATGTGACATCCGGCAAGCCACTTCTTGTCTTTGTACCTCAGACCCCAACCTGGAAAATGGGGGTGACCATTAGACTTGTCTGTCCTTTGATGGTTTAATCATAGAATATCAGGGTTGGAAGGGACCTCAGGTGGTCATCTAGTCCAACCCCCTGCTCAAAGCAGGACCAATCCCCAACTAAATCATCCCAGCCAGGGCTTTGTCAAGCCGGGCCTTAAACACCTCTAAGGAAGGAGATTCCACCATCTCCCTAGGTGACCCATTCCAGTACTTCACCACCCTCCTAGTGAAGTTTTTCCTTATATCCAACCTAAACCTCCCCCACTGCAACTTGAGACCATTGCTCCTTGTTCTGTCATCTGCCACCACTGAGAACCGTCTAGATCCATCCTCTTTGGAACCCCCTTTCAGGTAGTTGAAAGCAGCTATCAAATCCCCCCTCATTCTTCTCTTCCGCAGACTAAACAATCCCAGTTCCCTCAGCCTCGCCTCATAAGTCGTGTTCCAGCCCCCTAATCATTTTTGTTACCCTCCGCTGGACGCTTTCCAATTTTTCCACATCCTTCTTGTAGTGTGGGGCCCAAAACTGGACACAGTCCTCCAGATGAGGCCTCACCAGTGCCGAATAGAGGGGAACGATCACACCCCTCGATCAGCTGGCAATGCCCCTCCTTCTACATTGAAAGCTCTTCTGAACAGAAGAGCTGTGGCTCACTATGTCTGTACAGTTTGCTAACTGTCCCATTTGGCACCTCTCGGTGCTACTGTCATGTAAGTAATGAACAGTCATTATAAAGCTGGGATACTGCCGGGCCACCTGTCCCAGCCCAGATTTTCTGCGTGCGTGAAATGATGAGCTGGGGTGGCCCAAACCACATTTGTTTATTGGCTCTGGCACAGCCTGTGTTTATTAAAGGCCAAATGGCTTTTCTAGCCCATGGATTAGCAATCTGTGACGGTGTTAAGAAAAATATCCCTACAATATTGCCATGTTGGAGAGTTTTCATGAACTTTTTAATTATCCATCACGCTATGTCTAAAATGTTTGATGACCCACAGCGGTAGCATCATAAGTAAGATATTGGAGAAACTTGACATTCTTTGGGAACGTTTTCAGTCTGTTTCACGCCATGCTTCACGTAGACTGAGCATCATAAATGGATGGAAAATATATATTGCTCTAGCTCTGGAAAACACACTATTCCAGCCCCTTTCAAAAGCATCTGAATGCTCTGTGTCCCCTTAGTATTTAGCCTCCTACGTCATTTAGGTGCTTTTGTAAATTTTACCCAGTGCCTCTTGTTGCTCAGACCAATCTTTTAAAACATTTCTTGGGCTGGGTTAAATTCCTTAGCAGCGATGTGCGAGGTTTGGCTGTACTCGCCACGTCTGTTGTGTGAAACGAACGGGCAGCAAGTATTTCTTCACCCATTGCACAGTCACCCTGTGGTGCTCGTTGCCAAGGGATGCTGTGAAGCGCAAAAGTGTAACTGGGTGCAAAAAAGAATTAGCTGAGTTCACAGAGGATAGGGTCGGGGGGGGGCAAACTTTTTGGCCCAAGGGCCCCATCGGGGTTCCAAAACTCTATAGAGGGCCAGGTAGGGAAGGCTGTGCCTCCCCAAACAGCCTGGCCCCGGCCCCTATCCACCCTCTCCCACTTCCCGCCCCTCTCAGAACTGCCCAGCCATCCAACCAGCCCCCCCTCCCCCTGCTCCTTGTCCCCTTACTGTCCCCTCCCAGGACCCACTGCCCCCCTGGGGCCCCACCCCCTATCCAACCCCCCTGCTCCCTGTCCCCTGACTGCCCTGACCCTATCCACACCCCCGACCCCTGACAGGCCCCCCAGGACTCCCACGCCTATCCAACCCCCCCCCGTTCCCCTTCCCCTGATTGCCCCCTCCCAGAACCTCCGCCCCATCTAACCGCACCCTGTCCCCGATTGCATCCCCTGGGACCCCTGCCCCTTATCCAACCCTCTCACGCCCCGCCCCCTTACCATGCCACTCAGAGCAACGTGTCTGGCAGCTGCCCTGCCTGGCCGGAGCCAGCCATGTTGCCGCGCTGCCCAGCAGATCGCAGCCCCGCCGCCCAGAGTGCTGGCAGCGTGGCAAGCTGAGGCTGCGGGGGAGAGGGGACAGCAGGGGAGGGGCCGGGGGGGAGCCTCCCTGGCCGGGAGCTCAAGGGCCAGGCAGGACGGTCCTGCGGGCCAGATGTGGCCCGCTGGCCGTAGTTTGCCCACGTCCGGGATAGGGCCATCAGCGGCTGTTCGCCAAGATGGCAAGGGACGCAACCCCATGCACCAGGTGTCCCTGAATCGGTTAGGGGACTAACCTGGGATTTGGGGAAGACCGGTTCAGTTCCCTTCTTCGCCCCAACTCCCTGTACCCTTGGGCATTACAGTAAAACTTTGAAAGGAGCCAACGTCCCATTTTCAGATAGGGATTTAGGAATCTAAGTCTTATTGAATATCAGTAGAATTTAGGCTCCCAAATCACCTAGACACTTCTGAAAATTAATTTTTCTGTCCCTCTGTTCCCCATCTGTAATAATCCTTCCTTACCTTCCAGGACTCTGGCGAGGATAAATATATTTAAGACTGCACGGTGTTCAGCTATTATCATAAGGAGGATCTTGTAAGTACCTAAGATCGGTAGATCTGTGCTAGCAGCAATACTCAGACTGAGGCTTGCAAGCCACAAGTGGCTCTTCAATGTCTCTCCTGCGGCTCTGTGCCGCACGTGAAATTAAAACGCTGTGTGATTTAAATTATTGACCAATCTAAGTTATTAACCAATTAGGATGTTTTTACTCTGTTATTAACCAACTGCCGTTGATAAGAGACTAGTATCTGGTCAGTCATTTTTCAGTGAGAATTGTGTGTGTATATATCTCTATATATACACACACTCACAAAATATTTCCCGTCATACTGTTTAACTATGACCATATAGTAAATGAAACAATGAATTCACACTGTGGTGGCTCTTGTGGGGAATGCAGATCGCTAATTTGGCTCCTTGAACCACTGGGGGCTGAGTCTCACTGCTCTATAGTCTTTCAGTGCTAAGGAAGGTAAAGAGGTGACTTGCTTGTGGTTTTTAAGTGCCTACGTGGGGAGAAGAGATCTGATGGCAGAGGGCTCTTTAATCTATCAGGCAAAGCTCCAATGGCTAGAAATTGAAGCTAGACCAATTTACACTAGAAATTCTGCGTTTTTTAACTCTGAAGACAATTAATCCTTGGGACAGCTCACCAAGAGATGTGGAGGTTTCTCCATCACTGGAAATCTTGTACTCTCGGCTGTCTGCCTTTCTAAAAGATGCTGTCTAGACCCTCCTTGTGTTATTAGCTTCCATGCAGGGGTCACTGGGTAAAACTTTACTGCCTGGGTCGTGCAGGGGTCAGACAGGATGATCCCTTCTGGCTTTAATATCTCTGAATTGTGGCACCGAAAGTTAGCCAGGCAACAGAACCGTGGTTTTAAAAATGAAGTTTAATAGGTCAAATAGAGAGAGCTTTAAATGTTTAGGTATCATGAAGAGATTGGATACATTTCTACCTAGGCAGAGCGGGTTTATCACACACCAAATGTCTTTCTATCATGCCGTGACTTTCCTTTTCTTTAGCCAAGAGGACAGCAAAGGCGCGTCTATGAGAAGTCCCTGGGGCGCTCAGGACTGGCTCTCTGGCCCGCGTCATTGGGGAGTGGCTGCCATCCTGTTCCTGGCTCCGTGGTGGTGGTCACAATCTGTATGCTCACAGCATAGCCTAGCTCCAGTCGTGGGCCGGGAGTGCACTGTCTGAGGTGTTGTGCAAACGCAGAAGTGTCTGCCCCAAAAAGCCGACAGTCTATGCTGCTGTTTTACATTGCGCACGTTGTTAAACTTTGCCCAACAGGAGGAGGGGAATGGGCGCAAGTTTCTTCTCTTTAAAGGGTCGGTGCCTTTTCCCATAGCCGTTGCATTCAAGGCCTTGGTGGAGATGAATGGGCGCATTTTACAGGCAAATGTGGATCTACGTAGGTAGCAAGGTGTGTGCTGG